GAAAAGATGGTTGGTCTACTGAAAAAGGTTAATTTCAATCTAACTGTGACTTGAAGGTTATTAAGGCACTGTCACATTCAGTGTCCATTTCCTGGCAGCCAGAGGACATGCTTCTTCCCATAAGCTAGATTGATAGTTCTGGGATCAAGTGTAGGCATGATTCAGAATCAAAGGACTGTTTTTATAGGGTAAAGTTCTAATTAGTAAAACTAAAACTGGGATAATGATGCTCATACATACAGACAGTTGGACCTACAGATTGTTGAATTGCTCCTTATGCATCTCTGTAATGTGTAAAAAGAAAAACTGTTTCCATGGGTGACTTCAAATGGGGCTTATTTGCTGGACCTCTCTCAGGTAGCCAAAAAACCATTTCCCTGCAGTTTTTGAAAATAGGTGATGATTTCTTAACACAGTATTAGATCTTATTCTGATGGAAAAGTTAATGGCTTACCTAAAATTCATGGTTTAATCAGGTAAATCATTATCTAGTTGCATTTACCTTATGCAAATAGACACTAAACTGTAATAAGTATATATTACTGGTTAATGAATCATAGAATCATGAGTCAGAAGGGACCTAGACAGATCGAGTCCAACTCCTCACCATGGGCAGGAATGAGCACTGGGGGTGGCAGGGGTCATAAGACCCCAGCCAAGTGCCTATCCAGTCTCCTCTTGAAGATTTCCAGGGAAGGTGAGAGCACCACCTGTCTGGGAAGCCTATTCCAGGCTCTGGCCACCCTTACAGTGAAGTAGTTCTTCCTAAATGCATTCTTGACTCTACTGAACATAAATTTAGAGTGGGAAATGCTAATGAAAACTGATATTATTCAAGGATATTCCTTTGAATTCTTAAAATGCCACAGCTGTGGCAACCGTGGCAGGTGGGCAAGCAGATGGGAAGTGGTGATGGGGCAGGGGGGAGTGGCGGTGGTGGCATGTGGGGAGGAGAGACAGTGGTGATGGCGGTGGGGGGGTAAGTGGGCGGGAAAGTGGCAGTAGCAGGAAAGTAGGAAGTTGTAGCAATGGCAAGTGGATGGGGGGAGTGTCAGCAGTGACAGGTGGGCAGGGGGAGAGTGGCAGTGGTGGCATGTGGTGAACTGGAGGCAGTGACAGCAGTGGCAGTGGGTGGGCAGCTCAGAAGTGGGGGGGAATGGCAGCAGAGGTGGTGGGTGGTGGTTGGGCAGGGCAGAGGGTTGGCAGAGGTGGCAGTGGCAGGTGGGTAAGGGGCAGTAGTGGTGGAGAAGATGGGCAGGGGGGAGTGGCAGTGGTGGAAGCAACAGCAAGTGGGTGTGCAGGAGAGAAAGGGAAGTGGAAGGGGAAGGGCAGCAGTGGCGGTGGGGGAGTGGTAGTGGTGGTGAGTGGGAGCAAAGCAACAGCTGGGTGGGAGCATGTGTCCTGCATCGGTGGACTGGGGTCGGGGCCGGTGGGGACCCAGGAGTGTGGACCACAGAGTGTGGGGTCCATTTGGCTCCCCTGCTGCCTTGGCCAAGCCCCATGACCTGCACCACCAGCTTCATCATGCAGGGCTTGGTGAGGCTAGCCCTTCACGCTCCCACCACCTGCGGCTAGGGACTGGCCACTCCAGGGACTCTGAGGACCGACCACACACACACACAACCAAACACACACAAA